TCTGATGAATCAAAATCTAATCATAATTTAACATCGAAAGGAGGTAAAAAAAATTATTTTTCTTATTCTTTTTATATTTTGTTTTTTTAGGATTTTATACAGCACTTTGTGTTGATAAGAATGGTCTTTTATTAGCTGGAAAATGTGAAAAAGATGGTAATGCTCATATTGAAATCTATGATAATCAAGGTCATTTATTACGTATTATTGATTCCCATAGTCAACGTTTACGACGACCCTGTTCTTTAGCTACAACACGTGATGGTTGTGTACTTTGTGTTGATTTAACAACTGATTCAATACGAAAATATCGATATACTTAAAACTCTTAGTTTTTACATTTTTTTTTCTCTCAGGTTTTTTTCTTTCCGTTTTCCACGTTTAAATGCATGTGTGTGTGTGTGAGTGTGTCAGATAGCAAACCTTTATGTTTCCTGAACATTTTGTTTGGTATTTTTTTTTTCTTGACGTTTCTTGTTTGTGGATTGTATATTCGTTTCTGGTTATTTGTACAAAGTTTATTACCGTTCTCTCATTTGTAAATTATTCATCTTTCTGTTTTTTTTTTTTTTTATTATATATAAGTACTTCTTTCGTAAATTCTTATGTAAAAAAAACAAACCAAACAAATATGAAAAATAGATACCGATGGAGATGTTATTGAAAAAGAAAAATTCGTCTTTTGTTTTTTATTTTAATTAATCGAGGTTTTTTTTTTTTTTGTTCTTTGAATGTATTTTGTCATGATAATATTGAGTGATCCATAAAGAATTATTCTTGTAATATTTCAGGTATTGTTTGATCTATGTAGATATTATTTTTAAGATTGATCTTTGAATTTTCGACAGAAGTACTTATTTTTGTTTGTTGATTTATTTTAAAAGATTTAGAAAAAAACAAGATACAAACATTTGATTTAATCTTTTTGCGACAGCATTCTTTAGGCAGGATGTAAGGATTGTAAATTTTTAATAAAAGTCTTAAATTCGGTATTCATGCTCAGGGATAACGGTGAATTTCATAAAAATCCATAGAATTTCATGAGAGTTAGTAGTTACAATCTCTACTAGAGGGACAAAAAAGTCAGTGAAATCATACGGGTAGTTACATGGAAAATCTCGAAATTCCCTATCATCATATACATCAAATAAAGTCTAAGATACAACCGTCTATATGACTAGAGACTTAGTAATTGCTGTAGTCCAATAGAGGCAGTGGCGTACGCAGAAATTTTTCAAGGGGGGGGGGCCAACTTCGTAAGGAGGGGCCCGCCATGACACAAAAAATTTTTTATCACGCGAAAATATTTTTTCCTGTACCCCCCCTCAGGACTTTTTCGTCTCAAGGGGGGGCCCGGGCCCCCTCGGCCCCCCCCCCTGCGTACGCCACTGAATAGAGGTAACAATTATTTTGAAATACAATATGTAATTTTGCGTAAATGCTTTTAATGTTATGGACTCCAAAACGTTCTAGTTGAGAGCTCCTATGAATTGTCATAAATTTTCAAATCTAAATTTTCGTGTTTTTACCTTAATATATATGCAAAGTGGTACCACGTAATGACGCGATTATGCTAGCAATATAAGAGAATGAGAACAACTTTATACCATAAGGCAAAAAAAAAGGAGATTATTCAGCTCGTATACATATATATGGGTCCCGTTACCAAAAAGTTAATTGTTATTATTTCTTTAATTTGCTTTACTGAATATTTGAATCGATTATTTTAATTTATTAAAAATTCACTTATCTTTACGAATAAATGATATGAAATAGTCTTCACATTATTGTAGTGTTTTTGTTTTAACTGATCATTGATGTATATCGAAACTATTGACTTCTTCATATTTCAATTTAAAATTATTACAGTAAAATGTATAAGATGAACTGGTATATGTTATAAACTGGTCAAAATTTATTTAAGAATGAATAAAGCAAATTAATGAAAAAAATTTTTTTTTTAATTTTTATTCATTAGATCAATTGTTTGTTTCATTAGATATATAATTATTTGAAAGATTAAAATACATGAAAATACTCAGTTTTCTATCGAATCGGAAAAAGAACTATTACAAACAAATCTGTTTTTTTTTATTAGTAAAAAAGTACTCGAACTATTTCAGAAGTACTGGCAAGAGGGTCATCGGTTACTACTATGTGAAAAAACACAGAAGAATGTTTTTTTTCTATCTAGGTTCACTTGCATATCAGCAATTATTAATAAAGTCACACGTACATTTTATTCATGACATACGATGCAAAATTATTAGCACAAAATGTCAACCCCTATTTCTCTGCAATAACGGGTCCTAAAAGAAAAACGTTTTTTTACCAAATGATCGAACTTTTTTTTCTCTTTCAAATCGTATATAACTCATTTTTTATAACACGTTCATATAAATATGACAAATTTATTTCTCAAGGGTTTCTCTTTTTCTCATCACATTCCAGTTGTCAATGTGTGACAAATATGAAGCATACATTATTTGAAAGAGGAGAAAATTCTTATCAGCAGATAAAAATATATTGTTTTTAGAACCTATTTATTAAAGAGATACAAAGGTCAACATTTTGTGCGGTTCCTGTAGAGAATAAGTGCCGATTCTTCTGTTTTCTGTTGCGACGTTTCGTTTATGAATGTGTTATAAAAAAAAAACGAGTTGTATACAATTCGAAAGAGGAGAAAGATTTCTGTTGTTTGATTAAAAAAATGTTTTCTTTCAGCACGTTTTTATCGAAGAGAAATAAGGATTGACATTTTGTGCCATTATTTGTGCATCATAAGTTATTCTTTATTATTAATAAAAACAAAAAACAAATATGACGAGTGCCATTAACGATGAATAAAAGTTATTAGTCATACAAAAAAGAAAATCTATAGGGATTATGAAAATATTATATGCAATAGCTGTTCTCAGATATTGAAAAATATAATGATAATAATAGTGCATTCATATCAATGTACAACAATACAGGATGTTTGTGACAATGTTAAAATATTTTTGTGTTGTTTTTTTCAATGCTGTTTTCTTTAATCAACCTGATTCAGAACAGGTAAAAAGTCAATAAACAAAAAAAACTATGACTGGTGAGTATGCAAAGTATTTCAATATTGGCATAAGGCGTAACAATCAACAGAATGTAGACATGAAAAAGCCTCTATGGAAATCACCTGCTCACATATTGAAGAACAACACACATCACGTATTCGTTCGTTAATATTGCATTAAAAACATTAATTTCGATGAAAAAAAATGATTCAAACATGAAAATCAACACTGTATTGGTAAAAATAACTATGCAAACAAAAAATATCTTGATAAGAATCTTCACGAAATAAGAAAAATTTCTTAAAAACAATTATTTAATATAAAATGTCTTTTAACATTATCTAAGCGACATCTTTGGAAAAGAAAAATATATAATTGATACAAAAAGAAGTTTTTTATTTTCAGATTGGTTCCATTATATATCCATCCACTTGATAGAGCGAAAATATATCAACAGAATTCGTCTTTTATTATATCGAAAAAATAAACTATTTAATAATTCTCTAGTGATATTTATTTTTATTCAATTTTTTTTTATTATTTTTGCATCTTTCAGAGCGATATTTTTTTGCATGTTAGTTGATCTATTTTATCCTTTACACGCCAACGTAAATAAGAGTATTAAATGACAGACAATTTTATTATGATCGTGACAAAGCAAATATAAGAAAATGCATAAAACAGTGACAACATTATCGATTAATTCTACAGAAAAAAACCAAAAAACTCGCTCTGTAAGTTAATCATTAATATTATTATTCTGAAAAAAACAATAGAAAAACCATGTTCATCTCTATTTGATCTAAGTTGAACGTCACTTTTTTTTTTTTTCTATAAAACCATCATCTAATAAACTATGCGTTTGCTTTTCTTTGGCACTATCCTGAAAGGAAGTAAAACTTCCCCATCATAGTTCGTCGATTTGTTGTTCTATTGTCTGTGGGCTATTTATCTTATACTTTTTTTTTTTCTTCATCTTTGTGAATATTAATCATTTACTAAACAATTTACAATCGACAATAATATGCAGAATACAACACCATTATTAACTATATTTGATTCATTTGTACGGCCTTTTGTACGTGAATCACAGCAGCGAGGTCATATTTCAACAAATACTGATCAGGTGACAAAATAAAACCATCCTAATTAAAACTATTGTAGTCTTACCAAGGTTTCGATGCTATTGAGCTTCTCAATAGAAGAAAATATTTATTTTTATTAGATTTTATCATCATCTTCGTTTTTTTTTGTTTAACAAAAAAATTTTTATATTAGAAAAAATTTCTTATCTATTTGAATAATCATCATCATTTAAATCTTATCAATGTAAATAATGTCAATTATTTCTTTAGAATATTTAGAAATCCCGAAATATAAGAGATTTAGTCATCTCATGAAAATAATCTTTATGTTTTTTTGTGAGGTTTTCGTACAACAAATAGAAATATAGAGACTATAATTAGCTTACAAATTTTATCTGTAATATAATTGTCTATTAAAATATTCTGTTTGTTGTTTTCATCTTTTACATAGCTAACATATTTTCTTGCCCTTTACGTCACTTCATGACAAACATATGACTAATCATTAATCTTCGAAATTCGATATAGAGCATAATGATATTTTTATAAACGGAATATATTTATTTAAGTTCAAACAGTAAATCTATTTAAAGATTGAAAACAATTTGAAAAAAGATAGTTAATTGTAAATGTTTTTGAAAAAAAAAAAAATTTTCTTTTTTCTTTCAACTATAAACATGCTCACTCATCTGTGTCCTTCGAAGAAAATGTTTACGTTTACTTTTCTCCTTTCACTTATTATTCGCACCAAGGGTATCCTACGAAAGAACGAACGAAAAAAATATTTTTTGTTCTCACATTCACATTTGCTATATAAAATGCGAGAGTAACGCTTAACCGTGCTATAGACTTATTTGAACTAACGATGAGCGAACAAAAAAGTAAAAAAGCATTGAAATTGAAAACGTTGGAAGAAATACAAAACGATGCTGTTTATGATATTCATATTTTTCCGAAAAAACGACGATCACCACCAACTAAATCAGTCGAACCAGTAGCACCCGATGAAGACGATGATGTTGATGATCAAGTGAGATGATTGTTTTTAAAAAAAAAACTGAAATTTTTATTTTTGGTTTTAATTAATATTATTATATAAACATGTTTTTGAATGTATATTTATATTTTGTTTAGGTTATTACTGATTCGGATAATGGTGATGAGTCTGATGATGATATGCCTGGAGAAACTAATGGTAAATCAATAACAACAACTGGTCAAAAACGACCAAAGCAACGCAAGGTATTTAAAATAAAAAGAGAAAAAAAAAAAAACTCTTTCTATATTCGAATTTAATAAAAGATTTACATCAAATAAATTATTTTGTTTTTCTTTTTAAATTATTAGGTATACATTTCAGAACTATTACCCGTAGTTCTTAATGATGATGCATCAAAGTCAATGATTACATTGTCAAGTTATTTAATGAAGAAACGTAAATGGCCGTATCGAGGTTGGCATAAACGTTTTTTTATATTAGAAAAAGGTTATATGATTTATGCAAAATCTGAACAGGATGTAAATAGAATTTTATCCTTTTTATTATAAAGAAAAGAAAAAAAACTAAAATATTATCGTTTGTTTGTTTTTTTTTATATCGATTAAGATAAAACGTGGTCGAATAAATGGTAAATGTAATATTGGCTTATGTATTGTAACATTTATTCGTGAATCCCAACGAATAAATATTGATGAAACAAATCGTGTTTATCATCTAAAAATAAAAGAAAAAAAACTTTTTGAACAATGGCTCGAACAAATAGCATTACATAGAAAATATCGACAAGAATTACTTGAACGACAAGCTCCATTTATTCAAAATGATGACAAACAAAATAACAATGAAAATAATTTAATAAATAAGTAAATTACTAGTATTAAGAAAACACAATATAAAAAAAAGCTTTTTTTTTTTTAGTGCTGTACCATCAACAGATTCTATTTTTTATAATGGTAAAATTTTGTTTTCGTTTATTTATTTATTTATTTATTTTCTTGAATAGATTTTACGAATATTCAAGCACAATTAACTAATTTATCAGATATACTTGAACATATTAAAATGAATGCAAATAATACAACAATGTCTAATTCAATATCAAAATCAACAGTAAGTATTTTTTTTTTAAATTGATTATTCTTATTTTCATCTATATATTATTTAGGATGGAACTAAAATAAGTGGTCATACACCATCACCTAGTATAAGTAGTGTCAATTCATATTCATTTGTTGATCTTCAACGACAAGATTATTATGATTCAGCAAAAAAAGGTAAGATTATTAATAATAATAATACAACAAAAAAAAAAGAAGAAATAAAAATTATTTTTTTATTTAGTTTTTGATAATTTAAATAATCTGTATAAACATTTATCTGTTGTTGCTTTGGAACAACAACAACAACAATTAGTAAATATTACTTTTGTCAAAAAAACAAAAATATTTATATTAATTTCTTGATATTTTTATTAGAATAATTCATCACTTGGAGACAATGATATTTATCATTCAATATCACCAAAAGCGTCTATGTCACGACATGGCTCAATTTTTTATGATGCTTTAGAAGCTCATAGTGTACTAATGTTAAATAATGATAAAGATGAACTTGCAAAATTGGTATGTCAAAAAGAGAAAAAAAAAAGATATTTGTTAACCTTGAAATAAGAGTATGACTCAATAGCATTAGGGTAAAGATTAACAACGAATCATCGGTAAGTACGGTTTGGTCGAGTTCTAAAATTTTGAACCGGATGGATTTGACTGATTACGCTAATACCGGCATTCACTGATATATACGTTCGCTACAATATTAAGACACCAATTCTATCAAAATATGACCTTTTTGTAGTAATGTGTTCTAATACTTCAGCATATACTGGTGTTAAAGTGTACTAACTACACTAAGTCAGTAAACTAAAATGACATATTTCTAAGTAAGACATAGGATTTACTTTTTTTTTGTTTTTAATAGATTATCAAAGAAAAGAATTTTAATTTACATTAGATGAATATAAAGTCTAGACGATATTTACTTTCTTAAATAAGATTCTATTCGTTTATAGAAATTTTTAAAATGAATAATAAATTTTATTTGTCTTGTTTTAATAGTCCGAATCAGAATCATCAAGTTCTGATGAAGATGAAAGTCATGCCGGTGAACTCGATCGTCAAATATCTGCTCTACATCAATTAAGTAAATGATTATTTTAATTTCTTTTCTTATTTAAAGATTTTATTATTATTATTATTTTTTTCTTTATTTAAGAACCACCCAAAATAAAAACAAAATGGCGTCGTTCATCTTTACCAGCCGGTGCACCAGATACAACAAATGTTGGTTTATGGAATATAATGCGTAAAGCAATTGGCAAAGATTTATCTCGTATAGCAATGCCAATTGTATTAAATGAACCATTAGGTTTATTACAAAAATTATGTGAAGAAATGGAATATTCAGATTTACTTGATCATGCATCACAAACAGATGAACCTCATTTACGTCTTGTTTATGTTGTTGCATTTATTGTATCAACATATTCATCAAATCATTATCGAACTGGAAGAAAAAATTTTAATCCATTATTAGGTGAAACATATGAATGTATACGAGAAGACAAAGGATGGAAATTTATTGCTGAACAAGTAATAAAAAAAAAAGCATTTTTCATTGTTTTCGTTTTCAAAAAAGATTTTTATGTTTAGGTTAGTCATCATCCACCGATTAGTGTTTGTGCTTGTGACTCACCGAATTTTATATTTTCACAAAGTATAATTTTTTGAAAAGCAAAACAACAACAAAAGATATTTTCTATTTTGTTTTTTTTAAGGATTACAAGCAAAAATTAAATTTTGGGGAAAATCAATGGGTATATGATTTTTCTTTTGAATGTATCTCATAAACGACTAATCTTGTTTTGATGTTTCTGTTTTCTGAATAGAAATTTTTCCTGATTCATTAAATGTATTAACATTTAAAAAATATAATGAAACAATAATATGGAATAAATGTACAATGTGTATACATAATGTTTTATCTACTGATCGATGGATTGATCATTATGGTGATGTTTTGGTTGAAAGTTCATTAGGAATTAAATCTCGCATTAGTTTTCTACAAGTTTGTATTGAATTTTTTTTAATCTATTAAATAGATTATTTCGATTGATTAATTAATTTCAGAGTGATTATCGAACACGTTTGAATAATGTTGTCGGAGATGTTGAAGATGTTAATGGACGATTAGTACATAAAATATTTGGTCGTTGGCATGAAGAACTTTATTGTGGAACTGATAAAGCAGCAAAATGTATTTGGCGACAAAGTATGTATCATAGATTTGTTGAATATTGAGAATGTACTTATAATGAACTCGATTATTATTGTAAATAATAACTTTGTGTTTAGTTTAAATGAAGAATTATTCGATTAGATGATATATGTAAAATTTTATTCTTTGAATTTTTTCCCCCCATGAATGTGGAAGAAAAGGAATGCTAATACCTTTGAGCTACATTGATATATGAAATGCTGCCTAACATCAGATTCAATAGTCTGATATCTTCCATACAGTGATGACTATCTGTACTTCTGAATGAAAGGTCAGCCTGATACAGAAGATCTTGCACTCAATTGCTCGAGCTTCTCACTATTGAGATTTATCAACATCCTTCACTATGTTCAGAAAATAAACAAAACTTTTTCCAGGAAAAAAAATCGCTGAATGAAGGACAGTATTGATTACCGAGAGAAAGAAAAAAGAATGTATCCATCTTTCAGCTACCTTGTTACCGATTCAATAGCTCGATATTTTCCCCACAATAATTACTAGCTTGAGCTCTGTATACTCACTAACTAATGTCCGCGCCATAATGAAATACGGTTGGGTGTAAGCTCAATAACTCGACAACCGCAATAGCTATCGACCTGAGGTTTTCATCAATTGAAAGAAGATGGGTGGGGAAGTCTTTCTCTCTGATTATGTGTAAGACGAAATCCTTTTAAAACTAATCATATTCGAAAAACATGCAAAAGAACCCATGAAAATGACCTGTCGGCTAGATGAAATTTTGATTTTGACCTTTGATTTAGATAGAGGGACTTGCGATCTATAGTTCAAGATACAATACAAATGATTGTCTTATTACATTCTAACGTTGAGCAAATGGAATCATGTTCTTACATGCACAAATAATAGGGAATTTTGCTGATTTTTTTATTAAATTTTCGCACTTTTTATCTTAGCAGCTTGAGATTTCGATGAAAATGTAACAAAAAGTAAGAAAGCGCATTGTGTCTTGAACTATAGATCTCAAGTCCCTCTATCTAAATGAAAGGTCCAAATCAAAATTTCATCTAGCCGGTGGGCCATTTTCATGGGTTCTTTTCCATGTTTTTCGAATATGATTAGTTTTAAAAGGATTTCGTCTTATACATTATCAGAGAAAAAGGCGTCCCCACTTCTCCTCTTTCAATTGATGAAAACCTCAGGTCGATAGCTATTGCGGTTGTCGAGTTATTGAGCTTACACCCACCCCTCTTTTATTCTGGCGCGGACATTAGCTACATACTAGCTACAACAACAGATGTATGTCACAATATAGTCAATATTGTATTCGACAGAGGTGATACGAGACAATTCAAGGTCATTCTATAGCTGGTGGTACGGAAGTTTGAGCACAGTACTTTGTAGATATGTCTTCAACAAGGTAACCATTTAGTTATGGCGACTTCTACTACAAAGAGAAATAGTCAAAAAGGACCCTGTCGAATTTGGTGATCTAGTTGGCACAAGAATGTCCTATATATGGCTTTGTAAAAAATTTTAACGTGCATCGAATGGTATATAGGAAGTTAAATTTTCATTGAGTTTTCATGTAATAAGGGCCCATATATCGGGTATAAATCTATAGGAATTTATGAATACTGGGAGCTTTATGGCGCTCTATAATAAATATATTTGAATCTCATTTTCAAACATAATTCAATACAGTTATGGATGGTCTTCAATAGTTTATAATCGATAAGTTTNTATTCATAAAAGTACATAGATCGTAAAAAAAATTGTTCGATTTTAGGAATGAAGTCAATGTCAAAGACCGGGACCGGGACCGGGACTGGAAAAAAAATTGACCGGGACCGGGACCGGGACTAAAAAAAGTGATTTTGCAGTTCCCTAGGTAGTTGTCGATCTCCTATTTTAATAATTTTATAAAAGAGTTGAAAAGTATTTCGAATACTATCTACGGTCTTATGTTTATATGTCAAACTCGCCTTACGTTTTTTCCTTAATATCTGTTGAATAACCACCATGGCTGAGTGATAACGTTGTTTGACACATATCCACAAGGTACTTTGTGTAAACTTCATTATCGTCAGCTATAAAATGACCCTAGACAAGTCATTAATAGCTATTTATCTCGAATCATACGTCCGATAGCATGTTGACAACACTGTAGTATACACTTGCTTTTGTAGTTAAAAAAATTAAGCACAGAAACTCTACGTCAGAACGAGTCTTTTATTCATGATATGTTTTATCAGAAAATATATACAAATAAGACTTCAACGAACTTATTATACCATTCATATAAAATAATAATTATACGAAATCTCTTTAAACTGATTTAAAGATATTTATATTTTTGTTTTGCCAGCAAACTTTTGAGACATTTTATATTTACTTATTTATTATTGATTTTATTTTCTAGATTAGCTGCATGTAGTCGTTGTTATCGAGCTGAATTACCTGGTGGAAAAAGTGAAGGCAATCTATATCGTGTACATGAATTTACTAAAGTTGAGATGTTTGCTGTTACAACTAATGATGAGAATGTTTCACAAGAAATGCATAATGACATTGTTCGATTAGAAACATTAATGTTTGAAGAACTTGGATTACATTTTAGGTTTAAATATTTATTTTTAAATAATTTATTAAAATTGAATTTTTCTTTAGAATACTTGATATGCCATCAGAAGAACTTGGTCCTTCAGCATATCGAAAATATGATATTGAAACTTGGATGCCAGCAAAAGAATTTTATGGTGAAGTAAGTTTTATTAGTAAATATTTTTGTTTTTTTTTGTCGTACATTATTTACTTTGATACAGGTCAGTAGTGCATCAAATTGTACTGATTTTCAATCACGTCGGCTTCATATTAAATATATTGATGATGATGGTGATGAACGATTTGTTCATACTGTATGTTAAATTTTCTTTATATTTTGATAAAAATGTTTTTCTTTGTTTTTCACGTAGTTAAATGGAACAGCTATGGCCATACCGAGAATGCTCACTGCTATTATTGAATTAAATTGGAATCCGGTAATATTGTTAAATAACTTCTTTTTTGTTTTTAATTCTTTTCACTAATAGGAAACAAAACAAATTCAAATTCCAAAACCTCTACGATCTTTTATGGGTAATCGAGAATTTATTTCAAAAAGTTCATCAACACCTACTACGCAATGGATCAAGTTTCTTAGTTGACAATTGTTGTTGTTCCCTATATATACAGTGTTGTTTGTTTGTTTTTTATTGTTCACTCCAAATAGAACTTTTTGTAACTATTTTGGAAAAAAAAAACAAAATTCATTTTTTTTAAAGATAAAGAAACATCGAAAATTGATGATAATTGAAGAGCATGACAAATCATGTTTTGTTTTCTAGTTGATTATACTCATTTTGTATGACTTAATCATCTATTGATAAATCTCAATGATTACAAGTCAAATGTATAGTCATTTGCCCAAAAAAAAACTATATATTTTATCCTATACATCATTTACAAATAGTACAAAAAGAAAAAAAATTCATTGAATAGACAATACAATATTAAAAATGAATCGATTAATCATCAAAGAAAAAAGAAAAATCTTTATATTGTATTGAGAGAAGAATGAAGCATGTTTATATTCACAAGTATAAAGAATAAGACAATGTCATTATCATTTTGATCGAGTCATGCATGGGTTACGTTTATATGGTTGACTATATAGAGTATAAAGTTTTGATAATTTAGCAAACTATCTATTCATAGAACAACGTAAAATATCTAGTTTTATTGTTAGTAACTCTGATGCTCGAAACTAGACAAAATTGAAGTTTTATTAATTGCTACAACAAATTTTCAGTTTCGATCAGGTAAATTAATATGAAGAAGTCAGTATCCTTTTTCTTTGTCATCATTAAAATGCATTTTATGTATACGAATATCAATTGCAGCAAATACGACGAATTCTTTTTTTTTTTAATTTTAATTTTTTTAATCAATATGAACCGTTTTGTCTAACTCATATGTCATTCATCTGAGCATGTCCATAAAAGCAAAATTTATATTATGTCCTTAACTTCAAATTATGTATGTAGTAGCAGATAAAATGGACATCTTAATACATTACATTATTCGATGAATTCAAGAGATACAGGATATTCTTTTTTCGTATGCTGTACATTGACTGAGAAAAATTTTCTAATCCTCATCCTATCCTGTCGGGCAAGATTATCCCGCATATGTACACTATCAATTGGTGATGGTTATGACGTACTTATAATAACAAGGTTAGATAGCGGTAATGATTGTAGATATGCTCTGATGATAATTGAAATATTGTTCGAACAAAACGTTTATTATTTATTAAAATAATAAAAAAAAAAGAATATAATTCGTCGTATTTGCTGCAATTGATTTTCATATTCTTTATATAACTCAAGTTCATATTATCTAGATTTATTTCAAAATATTTCTTTTTTGTTTATAGCATCGAACTGATTAATACTAATGATATCAGCATATTGTTATAAATTGAAACTTTAAATTTATAAACACTTATTGAAATTTTTAAATGAATTTCCATCTGAAAGAAAAAACAGAAATATGATAGCTGTGCTGCTTGTGGTGTTATTTTTCACGATTGGTCACCGTGAACACAATTAGAGACAATTTACGGCTACACAATCACAAAACACATTGTTTTTATTTTGCAACTATTCAAAAAATCTTCTAATGGTCATTATTTGATCTACATTGCAAAGATGATCATCTTGGAAATTCAATTTGTCTTACTGGCAGACAAATGGTTGATCATATGCCTTGTCATTTATTTGAACCGAAAGAGAAGAACAAATGAATTCATATTTGTTTATTTGTCAATTAAAAACAATAAATTGTTTTCTCTTCTTTTTTTGGTTATTTTCTGTGTTGTTTAACATGAATTAAACTTTAATAAAAAAAAAGAAAAAAAAAAGCAAGAAAAAAAGCAAGGAAAAAGGATTATTATCTCAAGCATTTGTTCAACACACAATAAGTATATAAATCAAGATTTTCTTTTCAACAAAACAATATTTCAATTGTAATAAAAAATTTCTTAAACACCGGTGTCAAGACAAAAACAAAACAAACACATTGACAAATATTTCTACATTATCTTAATGAAAGTAGAAGACATAGAAGAATATATGATATCGACAATTTCATTGACGAGGAACTCAATGTAAGACTAAGCATTTGTGATGGTGAAGGTGATGTTTCGATTAGATTTGTTGTTCGATAAATTTTATCTATAAGAAAATTTTAAACAAACATCGATTTACAAGAACTATAGAGAAAAAAAGTAAGATACTAACCAATATTCATATTTCTATGTGGTCCTTCAGTTATCCATTTTATTGAATATGGATCACTATGACGTTGAACTTTATTTGCATGTAAAAATGGACGATGAATATCATGTTGAGCATTTTTATCTATAGATGAAGATACATGTCGATGATGAGAATAATGAGAAAATGAAATAGGTTTTCGTTCTTGATCATTGACAAATGATAGTGTAGTTGTGGATATTGACATGCGATCTAAATAGATAATAGAAATTCATTAAGATACTTTTTTATTTTATTCATATTTCGATATATTTGAAATCATACTTAATAAGTCTCTTGAAAGAAAACCTCTCCAGATGTTAAATTGGTTTTCGACCGAGACAATGTTCATTTGGTGAGCAAAAGAAAATTTAAAATGGTTTGGTTTTCGGACATTTATTTTCGCGATAGATTTTTCAACAAAATGCTATGGTTTCCCTTAGATCATATAAAAAAATCGATTTTTGACCTTTGACTTCAAATTTTGCATGAACAAAGTTCTTAATGAGATTAGTTCATTGAAGCAAGTTGTAACTTTTCTAGTATCCGCTATTCTGAGATATTAAATATTCCAAAATTCACTCATGTGTGAAAGATAATTTTGTTCATATATTTACATTTCCAGAACGGAAATACTTAGTTCCACAATCAACTAATCTCATTAGAAACGTTCTCTAATGCAAACTTTCATGTTGAAAGTTAACTTTTCACATGATCTGAGGAGACTACAGGTCTTTGTTTGAAAAATTCATCTCAAGAACGATGGCTTGGAAAACTGAATCACTCTAGACTTTTCTAGTACACATCAAATGAATATTGTCTCGGTGGAAAAGTGACTTGACACAGTTCTCTTGTACAATCTATTTGTATTCGATAATAAACATTCAATTCAATGAATTGAAAAAAATAATTAATTGATTTTCATATGATTATAATTTATCTAGACAGCAATATTGTCTATTATTTAATTAATATTGAATATCAACAAGAAGTTGATATCACATATGAAGAGAAAATAACAGACGTATCTTTGTTTGATGGTCAAGTCATGCATGCATAGTATCAACAATGTAAAAAAATGAAACACTCAAAAGGAACCGCCAATTCACGCCACTATACTTCTTGTCTAATCTACTCCAATCACTGTCGCCTCGCCATTCCAGTGATCCATATTATAAACCATATGACTATCATAAGCAAAATACAAAAGGCGTGGTCAATAGTGAATACAATCAATCAATATATATATATATATATATATATGTATTGTCTTAGTCTATCGAAAATTATAAATTACATTTTGTCTAGTTTCTATTAATTATAAAAGTCAAAGTTGTTGAGATAATATAAAAAAACTCGAATTAATGACAATAGAAAACTATCTATCGTTTCTTTTATAAAAAGAAACATACAACTACTAGTTATGATTTCACTAATTGATGAATATGTATAGTCACTATTGAATTTGTCTAGTCATTCACTTATTCTGTCTCTCAAATAATCAGTACAAACGCGCTCGAGCGAGATATATCAAATCTAACATGATTCGATTACATTTCATCGGTCCTATTACACAATCATGTCTTGTCATACATATATATATATATGTATGTCTATGAGTGCAATGAGGCAAAACATCGACATCGTTGTCATCTAGTTAGAAACGAGTTAGTGAAGATGTATACTTACAATAATCATGTACAAAAATTTTAAGTTTGTTACATTGATGATAATGACTTGATGATGTTGAAAGAAAATAATAAGTTTGATTGGGACGAAATTCAAAACCATTTGGTATTGGTAAATATGAACGAAAATTAAGTGTATATTTCATAATATCATATGGACTGTTACATGTAATTACACGACGTGTCATTGGATCATTACCAAATGAATTAATATTACAATTTTGATATTCATTTTCAGTTACCTTTAAAAAAATATTCATATCATTGATTGTTGTTTTTTTAAAGTAAAATGAAAATTTGTAAAAAAAAAAGAAAACAAAACGAAAACATACTCGATATATATCATATTGTTCTAGTTCACTTGTCATATACGATTGTTGTTCATCATAAAATGGACATATAAGATCCATAACGTCACCTAAACGTACTTCAAAGACCAATGAACCGTCTTGATATGGCCTATACATATGTAAACAAAAATAAAAGTACATTTGATTTTTTTTATTTCTTCTCATTCAATTTCAAGTATTCTTTCGAACTGGAAAAAAAAGGAAATCTAATTAAAAAGAAAATATTCTAGTCAAGGTTCGTAATAGATCGAAGAACGAATGAGATGCCGCAAGGGTTCTATACCATGAACAGACACACACACACACACAAATATATATATACTATACAAAAAAAACGAATATAAACACATTAAAAGAAATAAGAGAATACAGCCGCTACTATAGCCTTAAGATGCAAATACTGAAAAGTCATTTTGTATATATGTAGCACAGATGGACACTTAGCAATGGGGACATTTAATGCCATCGAAACAAATACAAGAACAAAGTTTTTCTTTATGTGATTTAGTTTCAAGTTTACTCAACAAAACAAATGAATGAATGATTATATAAATATATATTAGAACAACATTGAACAAAACAAAAAAAACTCAAATTTCTTATAAATATCTCTATGATCTCTGCAGGAAAGATATGAAACAAGTTATGTTTTAGTCACTTGAGATAATCATGTTCTAACAATGGTTATCTGATCATCCTTGAATGCAAAATAAAAATAAGAAAAGCTATAGGCCTCTGTACACCAACGAACATGTACAAATACAATGAACACCCTGTATGTTTTGATTACTAATCCAATGCGTCTGTTTCACGGGCGTTACCCTTCTTTCCTTACATGCAAACAAACAAACAGACAGACAGGCGCGTGGTGTGCAATGCAATTAAATGACGAATGCTGAATACCATAGATAGAGGAATGAATGAATGAATAGATTGACTCAACAATTTCTACATAGTTACACGATTGATCGCTTATGACTAAAAACAAAACCAACTCATCAATAGAGAAGCAAATTATATACATATACCAGGTTTCTTTCCTTTTTTCATAATATATTTAAGTTGTTAAATAAATAAACAAGTTTTTTAAAAGAAAAAATTGACAAAAGAATTGTGTCATTTTCTATTAGTGATATAACTTATATATATATATATATATGCAAATATTTTTCTAACATAGCAATCTTTTTATGAATAGTATTTCAATTAACAATATTTCTATTATTAAATAATAAGAATATTTACATTAGATGAACAAAATAGAAAGTTTTCTTTTTTTATTATCAAAAGTAAAAAATGATTAATATTTGAATTTTTACTAAGAATAATCAATATCGTGTTAGATTCTATTGTAATAGTCTATCAATCAAATGAACACAAGACATTTCGTGTGTAATGTAGAATAAAAAATTTCAATTCATCGTTTATGTTATTATTAATTCTTTTTTAATTATTACCTGAATGTCGTTTGATTCCAATAGAATGGTTGAAGAAGTAATGAATAAGTTTGATATCTAGTTATGAAGATGAGTAAAAGAATTGATACCACAAGCAGCTCGTTGATGAACATAGCCTCTCTGCCGCTGCATCGACTGAATACACATATACTTTCGGCTCTGTTCAACTGACCGTTCTTCTCTCTTCCTCTCTCTTTCTCTAACACGAGAAAAAGAAACGGTCCAATTATCCTTCCCCTCGTCTCTCATTTCTCTTTGTCGACAACCAGAGATGAGGAGCGAGTAAAAGAGAAAAAAAAAGAAAAACGTTTATTATTACTAGTGATACGAAAGAACCATTTGTGCACTTGCTCTATCGTTTCTCTCTGTTCTATATTCATTATCATATCGATGCGAGTGCGAGATGAGTCTCGCGTAATACATCACCAGTCCGATAGTCAATTATCATGTACATGTGCACAACAGTTCTTTTCTTAACCCCCCTCAACAAAAAGAAACGATCTTAATTGAGAAAAGATGAACTAATGCTTTTGTCTCCTTATCTTTATTTTAGTTCAAAAGTATGATTTATGCGTATATTTGTTCTTTTTTTAGCTTTGTTGACGTGCAGATTTGTAATTTGATTCTTCTTTTTTTTTTTGCATTCGACTTTCGATTTTTTTTTCTGATCAACGGCGGGACGGCTTATCATGTTCTGTTCATTGATGCACGTAATTTTTTGGTATGTCTATGAGTGATCGCTCGGAGAGCTGAGGCGGTAAACGAACTAATCACAAAGAGAAAACGATGAATGATCAAAGCAAATATATATATGTGTGTGTGTCACTTGTGTGAACAATTGAGAACGCGCGCACACACACACACATACACACACAAATACAATACCGGAGGTGACACCAACACAGACGAATGATAGAGATTAGTGAATAAAGAAAGAAACCTAAATTTGAAATAATTTCTTCAATTTCAATTTGCAATTTGAAGTGCATTATTTCTATTCTTTATTAATTTGTATCACAAGATTGTATGTCAAGATGAACATCTTATTTTCTTTTTTTTCAATAATCATCTATCTCTCACATTTACTGAAGCGAGAAAATTGAACTTGAATATATATACATATTGAAAGTGAAAAAAAAAAAAAATTTCTTTCCGCATACTTTTGTATGTATGTATCTCATATCGTCCACGAGTGCGACATTGAATAATAGTATATTGTCTAGTGTTTATTTAGGAGAGACCATTTAGAATATAGAAAAAAGTCAATATCATAAAGAGTTTGAGTTGAATGAATAAATGAGTGAAAGGAGGCGAAACCGACGACGATCAAACAATCGATCCATACACATCACTAATTTCAACTCGTCCATCATTCTTATGATGATGATATGCCTGCTTGACAGTCAAGTATATATATATATATATATATATATGTGTATATGTCCTGCCTTAAATGCATTCATGCATGTGTACATGAGACAGTTGATTTTAGCACAAAAAAAATGATCGAAATTTATGAGAACACGCAAGAGGCTCATTAAACGAAAAAAAAAGAAGAAGAAGACTTGGTCTTTCACCCTTGGGCTTCGTAGACAGTAAAACGAGCTTGTTTTAATTGCGAGAACGGAAAGATTAGTATTCACATAAAAGATTGTAGCATTATTGTTTGTGTGATAATCTGAATGAATGTATGAAAGAAGAAAAAAAAAAAGAAAAGCTTAACAGAATAGTCCTAATTTTTGCATTTTTTTTATTCATATGTTTGTTCAAGATTTGATTACGTCGATCTTTAGCAATTAAAAACAAAACACATCAACGAGACTGACAACTGGACTAAACGAGATGTGTTTGCTAATGAGCAATTCTATGTGTGTATGTATTGTATATATGGGTTACACGTTAGCCTTTATGCAATCTATAGAATACATCTCTTCACTCTATATGTGGTCGAAAAGGTCACTTTGATCTACTACTATTCATTCGTCTATGATGACTGCGTGACGCGTGAACGTGCTTGATGAGGTAACGAGCCACCACGCCTGTATGCATATGTATACATGTGTCTTCAGTTGTATATTTACTAGGACTATTGCATCCATGTTAATAGTTCATACACTTGTAAGTCAATTGACCTCGAATATGATCATGTAGTAATTGGAAAACAAAGTCAAATATCAAAACAAATGAGAAATGAAATTCTTTTATATTTTACTTACTTGAATGATGTTTGATTCCAATATATAACAAATTTATGAGTTTTCACGATAGTAATCATGAAAAAAATTGCCCATAAAGATAAAAATAATTTTATGAAATTTATCATCGCCATGCATCATGTTATGAATAGATTCATTGTAAATTATTACTACTACTACTACTACTACTACTACTAGTAGTTATATGACTATGCCAGAAATACGACATTATAAACTAGATGATAAGAAGACAAGCGTTGCATGATACTATAAAATTGATGTATTATCTGGAAAAAAGAAAGAAAGAAAGGAACAAAATTAAAAAAAATTAGCTCAATTGGACGAATGGCAGATATATATATATATGTCGAGCTTTTTTCTTTTCCTACATCTCATGGTTAATCAAATACAGTCGTTTTTGGTTTTCTCCTCAGGTGTTCCTATTTTATATTAACATAATCTTCTTCAATGTCATAGAATATTATGTACACACATATCCATCTGCAATATTTAAAGGTCAATCTTGTTCAGATGGATGCGAATACAAAAAAAAGATTTATTCTGACGATTTCTCTATGACCTATAAAACTGATTGCATCCAAGGAAAAAACAATAAATGGTGTCTTAGATTTCGTCAAAGTGAATATAGTCATAAAGTTCAAAACAAAAGAAGATATGATATGAAACAATCGGCAAGTAATTGTAGTCATCTTAAACTAAGTAAAACTTATTGATAAGCATGCTACTGTATGATAAGAGTCATAAAGCCATTTTATTTTAGTTTTACTCTCCATTAATAGATAAAAATAGACAAAAAAAAATATGATGTTTAGCAACACACAGAAATCTTCATAGTTAACTATTACTAAATGTAGTAACAATGTTAGTAGTATCATTCTCCTTCGCATGCATAGAGGCTCCGAACTAACTTAGCAAATAATGATTATCACCCGTTCTTTTTTTTTTCTTTCTTTCTCAAGCGCCTACGTCATTTGATGGCTCGAATCAGAACCAGATGGTGACAATCTCATACATACTAAGACATTGTGATGGGTGATGAGTGGATGACAATAGCCTTGATTCTTCTCCTTTTTCTTTTTCAACAGTGAACAGGTAACTTTAACCATCCGTATTCAACTGTTCAAACATCAGTTCACTTATATACATATCCTCATGGATGCAGGTGTGTTGTAGTAATTCTTTTTTGTTATACGAGAAGTGTTAATCTTGTATACAGAAAAATAAGACGGATAATGATGGATATATACGATGAAGATTGTCGTGATATACATGAGAGTCAAGGTCAAAATTACATTGATATTATGACAGCTTGCACAGGTGCGAGAAGATCCTTATATTTTATGAGACAAATGACAAATACACATAATCAAAGAGAACATTTTTCTTCCGATTGCTTATGAAGATACTTGAATGAAGAAAAAAAATCTGTTCTTAAATAATCTAC